TAGATCCTCTGCGCCGCGTTCGACTACCTGAGAGACCCTTACCATGTCGACGAGTACACTCAAAGAAAAACCAACCTATCAAAAACATTGTTGTTCACAAGTCAAGCAGACACACACGAAAAAAAAATCACTAGCCTGAGAACTTTTTTCAAAGCCCAAAACTCCCTTAAATATTGAATTTTAAGTAGTATAATTAACTAAAGAAACTGCGTGCTGCAATTGAGAAGATTTTTTCTTGTTTTAAGTAGTGTCAAACTCAATCCGAGAGCTCTTATCCTCTTTACCTGAAATCAAGACTGTTTCATATTTAATCTAAGAATATTCCAAATCAAATATAAAGATCCCAAAAGTACTTTAAATAGGTTCTCTAAATACAACAATACTTAGCCTAAGAAATATCGAAATATCTAGTATTAAAATATATTTTCTTATTTCAAGTATTTTGAAACTCGACACTAGAGTTTTTCCTCGATTCTTTATATTTTAATGAATATTCAAACACAGAATATGCTAAATATATCAATATACCAAATTTTGCATCTTTCCAAAACTCCTTGAAACAATTTCTTAAAATACAATACTTGAGCTAAGAAGCTAAGTACTTCAATTGAGAACATTTTAAGCATATTTCATGGGTGTCCATTCACAAGCTCAACCCTAGTTTTTCTTCTTTTTTTCATATTTAATTTAAGAAATTAAAATTCCTTCAGAACTCCTCAAATCAATATCTTTGAATACAATACTTAAGATGCAATTGGAAACACTTTAAGCCTATTTCGAGCATAAAAATTGTTGGTTCAATTTATGTTGAAAGAGAATCCAGAATCTTCTAAGACAAAATCCACTTGAAAATTATAGTTTTGATTTGAGCAATTTTTGAATGAAATCTATGCCAGCATGTTGACAGTTTTTGGCGAACACCGTATGGTTTTTCTCTAAGTGTACAAGTTCCGTGTAGTTGCCCGCCTTTAATGGCAACTTAATAAGTCCAGCGAGGCCGTTGGCTCCAGCTGCGGGCAACTTCTGCTCGACAAAAGCGCATTCATGCCATAGAAAATTTAATTAGTTGTCTGTGCGCTGTGTGCTTGCCAAGGGGTTGCCGGCAGACAGGATATAAATACGAGTGCTCGACAATCTGCTAGATACATCTGCAAACAAAACGTGGCCAATTGAAGGCCAACTGCCACAACAACAACAATGAGAGCCAAATACAATAGCCATGGCTAAAAAGTTGTATCTTTTCTCTTAGGCCAACTGCAAGTGTATAGCTGTTAATGTATCTGTAGCTGTAGCTGTAAAATGTATCTGTATCTGTATCTGTATCTGTATCTTTAGCTATTGCTGTTGCTGTTGCTGTGCGTGCATTCGCAAAAGCTTTATGGGCCGCCACTGCCGGCCGACGCATTCCGATGCGGATCCGGGATTGTGAAATGTTTTCATTTCGAGACACATTTACCAACGCGTCTGCACGCTGTCTGTATCTGTATCTGTATCTGTGCTTGTAGCTGTATCTGTATCTGTATCTTTAGCTGTGTTTGCTGTCTGTCTCTCTCTCTCTCTGTGTGTGTGTGTGTGTGTATGTTAGCCATGGCCTGTTGCTGTTGTTGTTGCGGCTTCTTTCTTTCTCTGGGCCACTCACCTCCCGATACGTGTCGCATTTTAAATAATAACGCGACCATCATAAAAGACGGGAATTCGTCGTGCCATCGGGAAGTTTCTACCAACAACCATCTAATTCGTTTGCCATATTTACAAGTTTTGCATGTTTGTTGAAACTATTTTTAGATATTTTATTGCAGTCATAAGATTCAAAAAGATTCGAAACGTGGCCAAAGTTTTATTTTTTTTTATTATTTTCAGTTAATTAATTTTATTTAAGGCAGTCAAGCAAAACTATTTATTTATATGTCTAATGAACTAAACACAATTATTAATTATTATTTGATATCTATCAAATCTTGGCAAAAATTATAGATAAATTATATATTTTATCGCGCTAATAGAATTTGTTATATATTGATTTATGTTAATTGTCATTGCCAGCCTATTCTAACCTATAACAGGAACTCATTTCAAAGATTTGTATAATATATACTAATACACTCAGAAAAATTTGAATTGCTTAATAACAATTAATATTTGCAATAGTATTATTTTAATTATGATTATTATTATTATTATTACGATGAAAGTCTTTAATGCAATAATCAATCCAAGAAATATTGCAAAGTAAATCTCCAAAATTCCAAAAATATATTTCAAAACAGAATCGACTCGAAATTTGAAGAACTTCATCTCGATCATAAACTTACTGTCTATATCATCTTTTCTTTAAGTGTAATTGTAAGTTATTTTTATAGATATATTTTTAATATAATTCAAAGGTTTTTTACGAAAATTAATTTTTTTTTGTTGTTTTAAATCATTATAATTGAATTCCCAGCATAATTTCGGGTATTCCCTTTAGATCATTCTTGATATGTAAACAAAGTCTGGCTTGCTTAGATCGTAATACGTTATTTCTCTAGATCTTCCAAAAGTAAGTTCCTTTGGTGAGGCTGAGACTAGATGTCTTTGACCTTCTGGGCTGGCGTTTTGCTATCAATATTTGGCAGCTTGAGACAGTCTTGACAGTCAGTGATGGTGCGATGATCCAATGATCCGATGATCGTCAGGGGCATTTAGAAAGTCGCCCGGAAATTCACAGCCACACACGGCATATTTATGCTGATTAGCACCTATTGGATTAGCTCTGCCCAAAGCATGTGTCGTCTCTCTGTGTGTGTGTGTGTGTGTGTGTGCGAGTGTGTTAGAAAATAATCAATTGGTAAATATGTTTATCACGACTTTGGGCCAACGTGCATAGCTTTCCTTTCCATGCTCCACTTTGCTTCGACTCGTGGGCAACATCGGCGCGGCGAACGCGAGGGGCGTGCACTCATTGGCGTTTCATGAATGAAAAACGTTGGCCATGCACACACACACACACACACACACATGCGTGTGTGCATGTGTTTGTAGGCATGTTAATATGTGTGTAGGCAGGCAGACAACATACACACACATTTGTTTGTCGTTTACTTATCTGGCTGCCCCCGCCTGTGGCTTCGCTTATCATCGCTGCCTTTTGTAATGCGCAAACAAAGCATAAATACCAACACATCAAGTTGTTTGGATTTGGTTTTGGATTTGAATTTGAATTTGGTTTGCCGCTGCCCTGGCATGCTTGGAATGTTGTGGCGCCCCAGCTCCAGCTCCGGCTCCAGCTCACCTTGAGCTGAGACTGACAGTCGCAGTTGAAAATAAAAAAATAAAAAAACAACAACAACAACGAATTATAATAAACGACATTTGGCGCAGCTACGGCGTTGGCGTTGGCGTCGGCGTCTGCGTCGGTGTTGGCCGTTTGCTGCTTTGACCCACTGTTCAAAAGCTCGGCGCTCTCCCTCTCTCTCTCTCTCTCTCGCTCTCTCTCGAACGCAACTGCAGATCCAGTCACATTGTGTACTTACCTATACACAGTTAAACGAAATGTTTTTGTACTCACCTTCAGAGTGGCAGCGGCAACAACAGTTTCACTTGGAGGCTGCGCCGGCGGCATTAGTTCAAAGCTTTGTAACACCACACGAATCTCTAGCAGCGTGTGTGTGTGTGAGCGTGTGCTTGTGTGCAGGGCACACAAAAACCATTGGAATGTGGAATGTGGTATTCATTGACAAAATCAGCTTTCAAAATGATCTCACTTGTATGAAATACAGTCAAACCAAATCGAAAACCGGTTTCGTAGTCAAATCAGAGATAGACGACACACAAAGAGCGCGCGGGGGGGGGGGGGGGGGGGGTGCGGGTTGGCATCTTGCGAGGGGTAGGAGACGGTGGGCAGCGAGAAGTAGCACTTTTATAAATTTCAATTTATGTAGTTCGTTTTCCTTGAGTTTTACACAATATAATGCCACATACATACCTCGAGTATTTCACTGTGTTTTCACCGCACGTGCCTGGCCCGGCTGAAAGCCCTGAGCCAAATTTAATACTTCATTTTGATTACGATGTGTGTCAAGTCAAAATTAACTGCTGCCATTTAACACATTGCACCAAAAAAAAAAAAAACACACACGCACACAAACCTTTCATAGCCTTAATATTTTCACACGCGCAAAGCAAAGGCAAACAAAAGAAGAAGAGGAAAAAAAAAACTAACCTGAAAGAAACACGAGAAAGAAAAATAAAAGACAGCGACTAAATTCGGGCAAGATCTTACGGTTTTTGGTTTTTAATATAAATAGCACACACAATTAGTGGCGCTGAGAGTGAGGCGCTGAAAAACACACACACACACGCACACACAGGCGCACAGAAAACTAAAAGAAAGACGAGAAAAATAAACTGTAAATATTTCAAACTTATCACAGCTGCAACTATGTATGTGTGTATGTGTGTGTGTATGTCGATTGCTATCGAGGGGAGTTTATCAAAATTCGAAACGAGGGGGGTCGCTAAATATAGTCGTGTATACGAGGGGTGCTGCAGCGGGGCGCAATATCAAAGGTGCACATAACTTACAAGCTTTAAATATAGACAAAGGCAAAGCTGCGCAGGCGTGCCCTGTGCGCGCGAGCGAGAGAGAGAGACGCGACAACGCTTTGGAATGCTGGGAGCAACAATCTTCATTTAACAGTCATTAATTTAGACGTCGTTCCGGCTGTTTGGCTAAGGGAGCGCCCGCTGCTGCGGCGCCGACTGCGGCTGCCGCTGCCGCTGCTGCTCCCGCGAGATGATCACACGCTGCTCGGCTGGGAAGCTGTGGGAAAGTATGTGCCGCCGCCGCAGCAGCAGCAGCAGCGACGGCAGCGGCAGCGGCAGCAGCATCAAATTGGGTCAACATTTTTTCATTCACTCTTTTTTGTTGCTATATTTCAACATATTTTGTGTATGTTTAGTTTTTAGTGTTTTATTTTTTTTTTTGCCCCTGCTTTTGCTTCTTTTTTGTGTGCCTGCCATTTTTTATTAACACAAAACTTTCTATTGAGCGGACAGCAAAAACACACACACACACACACAGACACACATGGAGAAATGTTTTTTGTTGTTGTAACTGAGAGCCACACACGAACTTCAGCAGACCGTAGCATTCACCGTTACTTTTTTTATAGCACATTTTTATGGCTGAGGCCTGGCGGTCAGGAACTGCCGCCCCGTTAATACAAATATAATTTTTAATTGACATTTATTGTCGTGCATAAAATAAAACGGGCCACAACTTTTATCTACGCAACTCCCAAAGCAGATGCCAACCGCACAGCTCGCCAGGCCGCGCAGCTTTGACTATCGATAGTGTTAGCGACGCCGATAGCTTAACGATAGGCCAGACGATAACTTACGACGGCATTCCTTAAACTCGTTGCTGTTATTACAGTTGTTGTTGCTGTCGTTGTTGTTGTTGTTGTTGCAGCCGACCACCGCCAACGTTTCGCCGTTGGCGTTCTTTGGCATTTTATTTATTTTTTTTTTTGCTGACATTATTGCTTTTTACGTCCAAGAACAGCAACAAGAACTACAAACGGGATCAGTTTGCCGTTGTCCGTTAGCCCGCTGCATGTGTGCGACTGTGTGAGAGAGAGAGAGAGAGATAGAGAGAGGGGAGCGAGAGACAGCGAGAGAGCGCATTGCACACTTGCGTTCCCTTTTTACCCTTTTCGGCTGCGACTGCACACTTGGACTTTGGCGTCTATCCCTGTCTGCCAGCAGACGCCGTTGCTTTTTCCTTGGCTGCCTTCTTTCGCTCGCCCTCTGCTTCTTTCGTCTTGCTGTTCTTGTAAAACGGTTTGGCGTCGGTTTTCTGGTTCTGCTTGCCTGCCGACTGCCGCCTGCCCTGTTTGTTCTGTTGTTGTTTTTGCTGTTGCTGTGCTGTTCCTGTTGCTCTCTCTCTGACGTTCTTGTTGTTGTTGTTGTTGTTGTTACGAGCCCGCATTCTATGCTGGTGGTTGACTTTTCTTCGTTTTGCCTTTTGCTGAGTGATGCAACTTTAGTTGGCGTTGGAAGACCACGATACCCAACAGAGCCGCAGCGGCGAGTCCAGCGATTGCAATTATGATAGGTAGTGCCCACTCCAGTGCACGCTTGGCTCTGCCGCTGCGACTGCTCCCTTTATTATCGGCTGCAATTGCATCGTGTGCGCAATTACCATCAAAATACTTTAACCGCACAGCGCCGCAATAGCTTCAAACGCGCAAGCGACTTAACTGGCATACAGTAAAAACTGCCTAAGGGCAACAAGCACAACAAATTGCCACCTCTATTGAGCATAATTAAGAAAATTATGTTGCAACAGCTTTTACAATTAAAAAAAAAATATGAAACTTTTTTCTCGCCTTATTCGTAACTTTGAAGATTTTTAGCAGTTGCTTTTAGGTAATTTATACTGTACTGAAGCCGAAATTGCAGTCACATAATGCCAAAGTCTGGCTCAGACCTACGCTCGCGTCGTGTATGACTCATGCTTGACAAATTTCAATTTCAATTTCTAAATAGACGCTACACACACACACACACACACACACGTACGAAGACGACGACGCGCAGCATCCAATTTCAGCCAATAAATATTTTACTTCGTCTCCAAAGACGAAGCCGAGCTTGTGACTTGTAACTGACAGCGCAGCAGCCGCTGTACATACATACAAATGTGTGTGTGTGTGTGTGTGTGTGTGTGTGAGCGCATTGACTGCTGGCAAATTCCACACGGCTTACTCGCTTACCCATGTGGCTTGACTTGAAGTTTAGAATCAAAGAGCTCCTTAGATGTCAATGGATGTCCCATGCAGCAGCAGCACACGCAACACGACGACACACAGTCTTGGCCAACAGAAACCAGTTTCTGGACACATTTTTCTTTCTCATATATAGTTTTTTTTTTTTTTTTTTATTATTACTCACTTTTGAAGCGCAAGTTCTATTTGGCTTAGTTCTTCTCATAGTTGAACGAGACCGCATTCCATGCTACAACCACCAATACAGGCACGCCAAGCTCAAGCCACACACACATGCAAGCAGGCACACGCACACTCACACTCACACTCACATACACACATGCACGGGCAGAATTCTTTAACTTTAATTTTTCCACGCTGTTTATGCTGTGGGCCAATTCAGCTCTCCCCACCGCAGTGCTGTGTCCCAACCAAATCGTTATTTGAACTTTCTGGAATGCGGTCGCCCAAGTTTCATATGTACATACGTATGTATGTATGTGTATGTATTAGTGTCTGTCTGTATGTTTGTTTTGCGCGCGTGTGTGTGTGTGTGTGTGTGTGTGTCGCAGCCAATGTTTGTCGTCTGCTCCGTTTTGGGTAGCTCCTTGCTGACAAGCCTTTTAATTTAACATAACTTCTTCTGTTGTTGCTTTTTTTTTTTTGGTTTTTTTTTGTTTTTATATACAAATCAACGTTTCAGTGTCATTTTTGCAATATTTACTTTTCACACTGTTTTTGGTTGTTCGTGTTGTTGTTGTTGTTGTTGTTGTTGTTACATCCGCTCTCACAAAATCAACGAAGTCTGCAAGCGAAACGTCCGCGCGCAGCTCGGCAACGACCATGCGGCTGTAGCTACAAAAATTCACTGAATGAAAACATGTCTTTTCTTTCCTGCGATCTTCGGGCGGATCGCTGCGCTGGCAGCGCGCGGGCAGAGCCAGCGCGCAGCGACGTTGGCAGTGACGTCGGCAGCGGGCAGCGACAGTGGCAGCACTTCGGAAATGTTGCTGCTGCTGCTGTTGTTGTTGTTTCGAAAGTAGTCGCTTGTATGATGTATCTGTCGCTGTATATGTATGTACGTGTGTATCTTTGTGTGCGTGTGTGTGTGTGCTAGAAAGTTTCGATACAAACTGAACTACTCCACGATGATGTTTGGGTCACATGCATATGAAACTTACAGAACGGCATTCCACAACTGAGCTGACACCCGCCCCCTCCCTCCATCTACCCCTCCACAGCTGCTCCTCTGCCTGACGCTCTGCCCGCAGCCAAGTTACAAAAGTATCTTTGTATCTGTATCTGTTACTGTTGCCGCGTCCAAGCAATGCGCTACTTTAGCCTCTTGTCCCAAGCACAAGTCAATGTCTCTTTGAGTCGGAATTTTGCTGCTCATTGGATTCTTCAGCTTCGGTTTTTTTTTCTCTCTTTAGTTTTTCAGTTTTTGCCTCGTTGGTTTTTTTGTAATGTTGTAATCTACGAAAGGTTTGTTATTGTTGTTGCTGTTATGCGTGTGTGCGCGCGTGTGTGTGTGTGTGTGTGTGTGTGGTTTTCGTAAGTGCTTTTGGAATGTTTATATGTTTGTATATGTATTTATGCATGTAACGTATGTGCGGAGCTACGTTTTTTATGTTGCTGTAGCTGGTGGCGTTCTTTTGCGTAAACAACACACACACACACACACTCACACACGCACACTAACCGAAATTCGCCATTGAACGGTAAAAACAAATTCCAACGTGTTTGACTTTGTCAGTACTCGTGTGTGTCTATGTGTGTGCGTGTGTGTGCGTGTGTGTGTGTGTGTGTATGGTCTTTTTCAATTACATGTTTGTAAATGGAATTTCTGAACTTTTTGTGAACGAGGTCATTTACAAGGAAAAAAAACCAAAGCACAACATATAGTGCTGCGGGGTGGGGGGCAAAAGCTGTATATATTTTGTTGTTGTTGTTGTTGTTTTGTTTTGTATTCGTCATGAAGGTATTTATAGGAAATTCCATAGGCATTACTCTTTAAATTTAAAATAGGCGTTATTTATAGTTGCCGGGGCAGCGGCATGACATGAATACCAAATGCGCAACGCCCGAGGGGGAAAGGGTATTCGAAAAAAAAAAAACAAAAAAAAAAAAAATGAAGAGAAAAAAATGTCAAACGATTGACGAAATTTGTGTGACAATGTCTAATTCGATAGAAGATTAGTGTGAAAACAAATGGCAGCATTTTAAGATCTAAGAATTAACATAAATTTCCCATGATAAAAGTAGGGGAACACACATCAAAATGTTGGGCTTATAAGCTCTGAGATATAATTCTAGAAAAGTTCTCCACAAGCCAATTTTCTATAGCAAAAGTAATTTAATTAGTTAATCTTACATTTGCTTAGTTCCAAAGAGCTCCTGTAAATTCTACCTACTTAGTTCCAAGTTCTTTTCTAGAGAATGTTTTCTACGCATACGCCCAGTTACCCATATATAATCCACGCTAGTCTAGCCTGTCATAGAAATATTTATAAATATATTTATTGCTATTGTTTTTTATAACTGCATATGCCATATGATTTGGCGAATTCTGGAAATAAATCGTTTGCGGAATTACAGCAGAATAAAAAAAAAAAACATGGCACAAACACACACATCATGTGGCAATTGGTGCAGGTGATGCGTACCGAAAAATGTGACTGTTTCTGGGCATTAAAGGTGCTTCGAATGTTGTACAGTTGGTTTTCTTTGTGCTGCGGTCTGTTGATAAGCCAACTGCATCATCAAAGTTCCCCGTAACTGGGGCGCCAGGTGTAAATTTGTAATGCCACGACAAATGAATGCGGCCCATTGACAATTATTTTGAGCGCTCGTCGCTGGCTGTTCGATTGATAAGTAACGGCGGCTACTTGACGCAAGAATTTCTGGTATTTCGAAAGTGTACACACACCTGTCACGCACACACACACACACACACACACGCACACGCACTGCATGAAGCACGCGCTCAATCTAAGGCTTATCAGGAATCCAAAGCAACTATATAAATGAATTGTGATGGCATTGCAGCAACTCTTTGAGTCACATGCTCTACACTTACCTGGGCGTTGCTTGAAGAGCGATGAGAGGGGTGGGCGACGGGGGGGGGGGCGTCAGGTGGCAGTTGCAGCAAAGCGTCTGTAAAGCAAGCGAGAAAAGGGTTACGGAAATTGTTATAAATATTTGTTTTTTCCTCGCAAGGGATTTCTCAATAAAAAAAAGTAATATATATATATATAAAAAAAAGAAATAATAATAAAAGGCAAACAAAACTTGGACTTTCGTCTGTTTGTACTATTTACAACATCAACAGCAACGTCAAGAACATAAAAATAATTAATAAATCTTATCAGGCGACTTGCTGTTGCCATTGCCGTTAAGAGGGCCGCCAACAACAACAACAACAACATCAACAACAGCAACAAAAGTGAAGTACATTTATACACAAGCATATAGCACATGTTATTAAAAGGCCTTTGGCTGTGACGTGGAAAGATTGGAATGCCAATGCAGTGTCATGGGTTAATTGTGCACCACGCACGGTCAACGATTGCCCGTTCATATTGTAATCGAACCAAAAAAAAAAAAAAAACAAAAAGGGGGAATAAAAAAACAAAGTAAACAATAATGGAGTGAAATAAAAATCGTTTATGGCTTCCCGTATCAATATCAAAGTACTCAGACCCATTGGTAATCGCATCGAAACTTTGGCCTAGCTTTAAGGCTTAATAATGTCGTCTAATAGCCAGCACGTGATGCGCATACAACGGGCGCAGGTAACATTAAAGAATGTCAGCCCAGTGTTGTTGGCAGCAGGTGCGGGCGCAGGTGAGCTGTGCCGCTAGACCTCCAGCTAGACAAATTGCACATAATTTCTAGTCGAGCAAGCGGCAAAAAGTGCAGCGAACCTGTCCGAAAACGAGACACACGAGCAAAAGGGCGAGAGATGGGGAGAGGTGGAGCTAGTTAGTCAGATTGTTTCAGTTGACGTCGCCAGACTCTCTGCTCCAGTCTCCGTCTTTATGTGCAATTTTATGCATGAGAGAATCAGTTGCAGGCAAAAAAACTACAAAAAAAAAAAACAACTATTAACTGAGGCGGAGGCAGAGCGCGTTGCAACTGCCGCCGGCAACTGGCTCAGGTTAGATGATAAGCCGCTGCGAAATGGAGAACCCACCAAGGCACACACGAACGCTAACCAAGACCAAGAGTTGGTAACTGCACACTGGCACAAAGTCACACGAAAATGTAGTCAAAAAATGAATAAGAAGTATGGTTCACTTTTAACGTGGATCAACAGCGATTTAATACAAAACCTTTAGGAAAATATACCCTATATTCTTCTCTCTAGATACCCTAGTTTTTATAGTTTAGCCAATATGGCTGGCAAATGAAATCAAGCAAGGAAAATACAGAGTATGATGAAAATAACTTGGAAATTTGAAGAGCCAGTTTATCGTTCGATTGTTCCTATGGCAGCTATATGATGTGGTTCGAACCGGCATCCTTTAGTTAAATGGCTCGACTATGGTCGCCAATTTCTCGAGCCTAGTTTGGAATAGTTGTAATATTTGACCGAAATGCAATTAATTTGAACGGTGCTGAGTTGGGTTAATGCTTCGATAAACAAAAGAATAACTGGCTTCGGTTCATGGTCTGATTCGGTCAGCAGAAAAAGCCAAGCCGCAAATGCCAAATGAATTTAACAAACGTGCAGCTCATATTGACCAACAGATAATTGCTTTATAATGATTTATAGCTTTCTTTTGATCGGTTGAATGAAGCAATGTTAACGGTTGCAATCAACTCAGACAGCTGACCAGGCAGTTTTCTGGCTCAAATCCACGCCATTGTGTATTAGTCGAAAGACAGATTGTTAGTTTCTATATTTAAGAAATATTTATATAAAATATTATATAAGTGCAGGCAAGTTTTCTGGTTCAAACCCATTCAACTCGAAGCATTTACGAAGCTCTTACTCGAAAGTTAGCTTCATAGTTTCCATATTCAAGATGTGTCTGCATGAGTTATACAATTTTATTTAGGATTCTTCTTCTGAAGTGCTTTTCGAACCACTGTCTGCTGTTGCATGCATTAGCATACAAGTGTTGGCCGCAGATTCAACATACAACATCAACAACAAGGAGTAGCTCTTGCTAACGAACAGAGCGACGCCTCTAGAGAGGAGAAATGCATTGAAGCGATGCTGATGTTGCTGCCGTTGCCGTTGCCGTTGCAGTGGGCGCTGGCTATGGGTAGTGGCCCGATGCTGCCCCCTGGTTGGTTGCCTTACCGCCCCCCTGACAGCAGCACCCAGTCTATGCCCTCTCAGCTGCAGCAGCTTGCGTTGGGTGTGGGTAAGTCTATGACCGCCGACTGCTTTCAAAGTGTGCCTGCCGTGGGGGGAAAGTCGTCGCGGGGGCAGACAGCACAGCGGGCAACTGGCAATTGCTGTGCCGCTTCCTGAGCCCACACAGACGCCGTCGCCGTCGCCGTCGCAGACAGCGGCCATGTGAGGCTGGCATAATTATAGCACATTCCATGACACAAAGTAGCTGCAATCGGATGTGGATTTGGCTACCAAGTAGGAGTTGTTTGACTTTTCAATGTGGGCGTCGCCCCACCCCCCCCCCCCCCCCCAACCGACTTCCCGCCCCGATCCGACCGACAGTTCGCTCGTCAGCGCATGATTTGTCTCAGTCTCAGCACCTCCGCCTTCGATCTAAGATGTATTAATGACATTTGGCCCAGTTTCTTAACAGTTTTCCTCGTCGTCGTTGTCGTGGGGGCGACTTCGTCGTCGTCGTCGTCGTCGACACGTAACTGGGAACAGCTGTGCACACGACGTTGGCGTCGCTGTCGCCTCCTCTGTCTCCTCTGCCTCCTCTGGCTCTTGTCTGCCTCATTCATATTCATAAATTTAACGTATTTTTTTGCGTAAGTCTGCGACGCAGCGGAAGTTGTATGTTTCCCCCTAGACCTCTCCCATTCCTCTCCCTGCCGTTGCCCCTTTGCGCTTGCCAGACAATGCGCCGCTCTATTTTGGCTGCCTCGACCCATCCCTTTTCCCCTTCCCCGTTGCTTTGCCCATGCCCGTGCCCGTGCCCGTGCCCGTTCCCAGGCGTAAAGCTAAAGTTCAAAGCACTATTGAACTCGAACTGGCAACACTTTCGCCATAAATAGCAAAAGACGTCGCTGCGTTTGTTTTTATCAACGGAAACAGCAACTGGGGGCTGCGGGGAGTAGGGTATTAGCTGGGGCTTAGGTCTGAGGCGGAGAGCAGGCATCGATAGGAAGTGGCAAAAACAAAAAAAAAAAACAAAAAAGTAGAAGAAAAAGAAGAGAGCAAGAAAGAAAAACGAAAACAAAAGTGACTAATGCGCCAAGTGTGAGCCGCTCTGGCTCCCGCTTCCTCCCGCTCACTTCCTGTGCGTGTGGCCTAATGAGGAAGTGGGAAATGGAAGTACTGTGCAGAAGGCGAGCGCGGAGCGGGGAGGCGACAGAGGAAATGGAAATGGAAATAGCAGAGCTGGGGTAGCTGGGAAGTGCAACTGCATTTCAAAGTGCAAGCCAAAAATAAAGCATGTGAGAAAACAAAAAACAACGGCAGCAGGTCGAAGACTGTATACTCTATGCGAGATGCATTCGGTGGAGGGGAGGGGGGGGGGAGGGTTATGGTATATTAATACGAATGTGTGTTTATACTTGATGACATTTTTTGTTGATATAGATCAAAATTCTTTGGCAGAAATACTCGAAAATATTGGTTAAATATGAAGAAATTGATTTTAAATCTTTTTTTTTTTCACTTTATATATTTTATTTAAAAATATTTACTTTTATCTGTGTTTTGTTAATTAATCAATTTTGGAATACTTTTATTTGTAAGTGTTGGAAAAGTATGAAAAGAATAACAGGGCAAGATCGTTTTGATCGAAAAGTAGAGACATCTCTTTATCTTTATGAATTCCACAATCACAGTCTCATATTTACTTATGAAACGCACCAAAATGCAAACGCCATTTGGAGCCGAGCTGTGTCCGGGGACGGGATCGCAACGGGGCGGGCCGGGTCTGGCGGGCTCTATAAATAAGCGTTTGCTCGAGTGGCCGGAAATATTGTGACTATATAGATGGTTGCGATACAAACCGATACGAATACCAGTGCGACTCACTGTACGTGTGCCTGTGTGCCTGTGTGCGTTTCATTCATATTTTTGCGCAACATTCATTCATGATTGTATGTGAATGGAATGGGGATACGATTATTTGGAATGGGGCATATTAAATACAGCAAAGCCGCATATGGAAGAAGTTTTATTTAGTTTGTTGTTGTTGTTGTTGTTGTTGTTGTTTTGTGATTGCGACAACATGCAGTCCGAAATAAATAAAAAGCAACAAAAACAAATACTGAATGTATTGGGTGCTGACCCCAAAAAAAAAAATAAGCGACAACAACGGAGATACGGATCCGTTCCTCACTTATCAGTTTCGAGTGTGTGTGCGCGTGTATGTATCTATGTGTGTGTGTGTGTGTGTGTGTGCGCGCGCATGTGCTCAATGAAAATTCATTGAAATTTAGACCAAATCTATAAAATGCAACGAAGCAAGCAACAGCAACTACAAGCGTACTAAATCCATACACAACAAACACACATTGAGCTACAGATACAGATACAAACACACACATACACACACACACACACACACAGATGATTTGGGGGTCTCAATGGCTCGTTGGCTGGCGTTGGCGATGGCGGCGATAAACTAACTGCAACAACAACAACTGAAACGCATTGGGGCAAACTGTTCCGAGCGATGACACGAGAAACTGCGGTGACCGCAGCGGAGGCGGAGGGGAAGGCGAAGGCGGCGTCGGCGGTGGCAGCGGCAGCGACGGCGACGGCGACGGCTGCTGCTCTCGGGCAATGCATGCATTTATGAATGAATGAAAGTGTATGTGATTATGTGTGAGCGAGTGTGCGTGTGTGTGTGTGTGTGTGTGTGTGTGTGCGTGTAGTTGTTGTGGCGTGTCGCCGCAATCGCCGTGTGTGTGTGCCTCTGTGTGTGGGTGCGCGTTCGCATTTAATGAATGAAAATCCCAAGCTGAAGCAACGACAACATAAACTAACAAACACACACACACACACACACACACACCACAGCAAATGCAGCACAAACGGAAGTAAATGGGAACAACAGCAACAACAACAACAACAACAAAAGTAACAAGCAGAAGAAGCAGCAGCATGCCCCATTGGATGGCATGAATGCCCGTCTGATTTTCAACTACGGATAAGATACTTGTAGAATATTTTATGGCTTCAAGTATCCACTCATATGGTGTGCACATAATACATATGTGCGCACGCATGCATCATACATGTATGTACATATGGCGGCATATATGTACACGCATGTGCTACTCGTGCACATACATGGCTGCAAATACCCAAAGGCAGACTTGCGAGTAAAAGTAACTAAAACTCAGCCTGCATTGGGCACTTGAAACGGATTTCTTATACCCTCGAAAATGGATAGAAGCAGGGTATATTGGTGACATGCAAATGTGTGCAGCATGCAGGGGCTGGCATATCCGGAGCATGTATATATTTCCGGCCCATCCGTGTGGTTGGCGGACTAGAGAATACCACCACAGCATGTCATCGCTTGTCGTAAGAGGCGACTAATCGAGACACGTGGCTCTTGCAGTTCCAGACTGCTAGTCAAAACGTTTATAAATCTCATATATATTCTCGATATCTTCCCTTTCCATTATGTCGATCAATATCGAGTTTTAATCAAGGATGGAGGCTAGCTAAGCATGTTCTCGTTTAGTTATTACAGATTTAGAACATATTATCTTCCAAGATAAAATATAACTCACTTTTATAAAAGTTTTTCCGCTGTAGGGCTGTGCGATTCTCATGAATTCATGATTTCAAGATCAAGAATTCAGTATTTCAAGATTTCAATATAAATAAGTGCCGTTTGTATGTATGTATGTATCTATGTATGCATCTATGTGTATATGATATGATATGTATGCAGGTTTTTTTTTTGTAAATGTGCGTAATGCATGTAAATATGTTCATATGCATGTATGCATGTATGTATGCATCAATGTATGCATGTGTGTATGCATATATGTATGCATATACGTATGCATGTATATATGCATCAATGTATGCATGTATGTATGCGTATAAGTATGCATGTATGTATGCATTTATGTATGCATGCATGTATGCTTATAAGTATGCATGAGTGTATGCATCAAATGTATTTTTACCAGAATGGAAAACTATCAGCTGTTACAGCTTTACCATATTACAGGAAGTTTCTAGGAAATTGTATTCTGAGCATTAATCAGTTAAAGTAAATAAATAAAACACCATAAAAATAGCGATGATTTTCCAATGCGTTTTATCAATTAAAGGAATTCGCTAATTAATTTGTAGGTCTTCAAAAGTATGCTATATAAAAAGCAATATACTTACATTTCAGAATTTAAAATAATAATAAACGATTAATGAAGATAATAAGAATGGGAAAATCGAGTACAACTATGATTAATTGGATGATAAATGGGATTTTCAAAAAAAAAAAAAAAACCGCCCAGATAAACAATCAACTTTCAGGAATCTACGTTGATAAAGGTCCCTTAATTTATGGCATACCGATAGGAGAAATTATTTCATAAAAATATTAATGAATTGCCTGGAGACGACGATAAATGGCGCTCGACATTTTTTCAGCTAATTTCATTTGTTACGATTTTTGGGAAATTTGATTAGCTGCGATTTTCTTGGAAAAAGAATCACATTAAGAAATTTGCATTTGCCGTTAAATTCGCGCTGACTCAGTGAACCGGACAAACAGCCTATTCGGAATGTAGACTTTAGGCGAAATGAGTGTATTCGAGTATATTCATGCATGTTTGAACGAATGATTGGCTGACTCGACTCGACTGAGGTTCTACGGAAATTCGATTGACTGTATTACAAGTGCCGCGCGTTATTGAAGCACTAGACGGGAATTGGACTTGGACTCGTGCACAAAAGTCATAAAAATACAAAAACTGAAGTAAAAATTACAAAGAAAAATAAATAAATAAATATGTAAATAAAAATAGAATTTCAAGATTTGTTGTATTGACCAACTATGACGCACAGAGCTGCGCCAATGTGCAGGTAAAACACACTGATCTCAGCAAATATAAATACACAGGATATACATACAGCCACACACACACACACATGTATTTATATTGTATGGCCATAGGGCTTGACTTTAACGAGTTGATATTTATCGAGAGCTGCGGCCAAGAGATTAAAATTACAACAGACCCCAGCGAAAGTGACGCGAATATTGTTCAAATTGTTTAGAAACAATAATAACAACAAACCAAATGACGCACAACAACTTTACAAGGTTGTCTGCCCGTCTGCGCCAATGTAATCGGATTGTGGGTGCAGGGTGGCAGGCAGAAGTTTCTTTCTGTACGTCATTGAGAAACTGAATGAAAATGAAAATGAAATTGGCGCACAGCAAACGCAACTGGGCACACACACACACACACACACACACACACACACACACACACTCAACTAGCCGCTTTTACGTCAGCAGCTACTATTTCCATGTGATTTGCTGTTGTAGTTTTATTTTTACTTTTTTTATTTTCTTTCTGGTTTTTCCTTGTATTTAGATTACGATTATTTACATTAGAGCTGCGGGCGATGACGTTCTGTGACCATTGAGGCAGCCCAGAGCCCAGAGCCCAACGTTTTGATTTGTTCAAATGTGCGCCTAATTGTGGCAGACAGTGGGCCAGTGCTGCCAATTCATTGCTAAATGCCACACGCAATAACAATTAATCGATAATTATCGAACGCAGTGTGATAAAACGATCGAGCACAGGGTGTTCGAGAGCATGTGTTGAAAAGCTTTTTGAAATTTGATTGTTTCCTTATATGTTTTCGTTTTGTTTTGTTTGGTTTTTTTTTTTGTTTCTTGATATTTTTGATAAATGCGTAACATATCAAACTGGTTCAATTCTGTTGATAGTTTTTGTTGCTTTTGTGCGCTTCGGCTGTGCCAATCTTAATTGCGCATTTAAATGTGTTCGTATGTACATACTATAATAGAAAAACAACAACTATAAACACACACACAATCACACACACACACATGCACATACACATGCACACACACACAGGCAACGTACAGAAACAGCAAATTTACAGCCCATTGTGAACTTTGAGGCTTGAGGCACAGGCGCCTTCCCCAAAACGTGCGGCTGCCCCTTAAGCGCCCCGTGCCCGACCAACCCGCTGACAGCGTTCGCGTTGCCAACCATGTGTCTGTCCCTCTGTATATTTTGAAGCTGCGCATATTGCGCCTTGGGCTATTTATTATGTATTATAGTTTATGGGCTTGCAAACAAAACAGAAGCGCAGTGCAAAAACGTTTTTGCGCACTATTCTTAGCGCCGCGTGTCAGGTGGCAACGCTCACAATTAAAGCACGTGCGAACAATTAAACGAAATATAATAATATGAAGAATAATAATAGTGTGTGTATGCGTGTATGTTAAACATAATTAATTAATTTGCTTTAATGAGGCATTGCCAAACATTAATTAGTTGAATTTAGCAACGCCAACAGTCTGGCAACGCCAAGAGCAAGGGCAACCATGAAGAGAGCCGAGCGAGCTTAAGAGCGTAAAAACAAAATGTACGACAAAGACAACGACAACTTGTTGCGCCTGCGACTGTGTGGGTGAGCAAGCAAATGTCGCTCTCTGTGTATGCACGAGTGTGTGTGTGTGTGTGTGTAAGTGAGCGTGAGAGCGAGCTTTTCGGCAGGCTGGCCTTGCTGTTGTCTGGGGCAGGCTGTCTGTCTGTCCGTTCGTTTGACTGTGAATGTGTGCGCGCGCGCGTGTGTGTGTGTGTGTGTGTGTGTGCATGTGCCTGTGCTTGTGTGTTTTTAAAAATATTTTGGTGCGCAAAAAGCCCAGCGCTCATGCAAGGACACATGGCTAGCGCGACGTGCGCACGTGTGCGTGTGCGTGTGCATGTGCGTATGCGTGTGTATGAGTGCGGAGGACTCGCTGTCTGGCGGCTTAAGCTGCGCTGCGCTGCTGCGCCGAGTTGCGCAGCGACGCGCCGCTCTGCTGCCGTTGCTGCTGCTGCAGCAGGCTGCACAAAACAGCTGTTTTCTGTTGTCAGTTTTGCAATGCACGTCCAAGCGGACAAGCGCAGCTGAAAACAGCTGTTGCGCTGCCGCGCAGCTGCATTTAGCCTGACCCCGTCCGCAAATTTATATATGCAAATGCAAATAGCTTTACGTATATATATATATATGTATATATGTATGTATATGTATAGATATGGGGTATACATACGTTAAAACTAGTAAAAGTTTAAACAAATTGCTTGATACTTACAAACAAAGCCATTAGGCGGCCTGGCGATGGCGATGTCGTTGTTGATTATATAAGCAGCGTCGTCGAGCACACACACACACACACACACACACACACATACAAGTAGTCGCGTGTGTGTGAGTGTGCCTGTGTAGTGGAGTGCTGTGCTGTGCTGTGTGTGTGTGTGCGTGCGTGTGTTTGTATTGGTGTGTGCCAGTTTAGTAAACGCTCAGCACACGCACCGAACTCAACCGAACGAAACGTCGACGGCAGCAGCGACAGCGACAGTGGCAGCGGCAGAGGCAGAGGCAGAGGCAGCGGCAGTAACAGATAGGCAAGTTTGCCTTTGTTGTTGATGTTGCTGTTTGCCGTTATTGTTGTTGTTGTTGTTGTTGTTTGTGTTTTACTTTGTTGTTGTTGTTGCTGTTGCTGTTGTGTCGTATCTAAAACATTTGCGCTTTAAATAAATATACAGTGGTATTATAAAAGAAGAGGCAACTACAACAACTACAAAATTGGTTCAATGCACGCCGCCAAAGTGGACGAGCCAGCAAAAAAAAAAAAAAAAATGCTTATCACAGATGATAGCAGCAAGGGGGGAGGGGGGGGGGGGGAGGGTGGGCTTGGTGGAAATTAGTTTTCCCGAATGATATTGCTAGATCATTGTAACTTTGATTATTGTTGTAATTGATATTTAGCAGCTACTCGATCATCATCATCATCATCGTCAACATCATCATCGTCATCATGATCATCAGCTTTGTCACTTGGCCAAAGTTCACTTGTTGTTCTTCTTGTTTTATATGCAATACATGCAAATAATTTTATTTTATTTGATATGTTCTTGTTGTTGTTTTTTGGTTTTTGATTGTATAAGTTTACAGTTGCCTTGTGCGCCATTTTTATTTTATTTTTATTTTTTTTTTTGTTTTAATACATATCTATACCTGTATGCATATGTATGTAAGTCTGTATGCGTGTATACATTTCGATTCTTTATTTGAGTTTTTTTTTCTTTCGCTTCTATTTTTTTTTTTTTTTTATTTTATTTACTTTTCCGCTTCTAATTTTAATTATTCAGTTGCGAAGCTCAAAAGTCGCGCGCTAGTTTGTTTTTAATTCTTCTTCTTCTTGTTATTGTTGCTGTTGTTTTGTTTTCCCTGTTTCGCTCTCTTTTTTTTTTTTTAATTTTTATTTTAAACGTCGTTTAGGCAGTTACGTTACGTTACGTTACGTTACGTTACGTTATGGCGTTGGGCTACGTCTTTTGGGGGAGTGGGAAGTGGGAAGCGCGAGGCCTTCAAACTGCGTCGCAAATTTGCAAATTATAATTTTTGCTTGTTTTTGTTGTTGTTGTTGTTCTGTTGTTGCTCTTATTGCTGTTGTTGTTGTTGTTGTTGTTGTTCGGCTAACTCGATCGAGTTGAAATGGGATTCAGTTTTTAATTTTCTTTATGTTTGTTTAGCAATATAATTAAACGCAAGTTAAATGGCGACACACACACACACACACACACGCACACACAAACACACACATGCACGCACACACAGAAAGACACATGCACAGACGCCAACACCAACACCAACACCTTTGCACAGTTTTAATTGAAATTCACTTTGATGCCGCCGCCGCCGCCGCCGCCTCCGTTGCCGCCGCCTCCGTTGCTGCCGTTGCCGTTGCCGCTATCCAGAGACCAGGAGAAGAAGAGCCCAAGCAGTTTAGCCAAAGCAAGCCGCGCCCAGCCAGAGCAATTCACCGCCTCCTCCTTCTTGACGTTGGCGCTGTCGGTGACGTACTGAATCACCCAAAGTTTAGTTTGTGGCGCATGGTTACGCTGGCGGCGCACACACGCACACACACACACATAGGCACAGCACACAAACACAAACACAAACACAAACACAAGCACAGAGCCACAGCGAGAAGCAAGAGCAAGAGCAAGAGCAGCAGCAGCAGAGGCAGCGACTGAGCGAGAGCAGGCAGCCGCAGCCGCAGCCGCAGCCGCAGCAGCAGCAAGGTCTCTTGGTATCAATGAATTGCTTTGCTTTAGCATTGCCCCAGCCTCAGCCTCAGCGTCAGCCACAGCCTCTGCCTCTCTGCCCCTGACTCTCTGCCTTAGTCACAGAATCGGTCGAAGCAACAAGTACAAAGTAGAAGCAGAGAGCTAAAACGTCGCGTGCGTCGGGCACGACCGACTTGAAATGTCTGAATGTTGAATGAATGTGCCGCGCAGCTGCTGCTGCTTCTGCTGCTGCTGCCGCTGCTGCTGCTGCTGCTGCTGCTGCCCGACACTGTGAGTGTGACTTTGCATGTAATGGTTAACGCCATATGCCGCATTGGCGCTGAAAAAAAAAATAAAAAATACAACTAAAAGAACAACAAAAAACAATAGCAAAACAAACACACCGACACCTCACAATGGCACACACACACACACACACGTACACACGCGCACGCGGGAGAGCGCGCGCTCACTCTCAAAAGCTTGCGGCGGCCGCTTGAGTGTGTGTGTGAGCGAGTGCGCTTGCTTTGGCACGGTAAAAAATTTTATTAACAAAGCAAAAAAGAAAATGGCGGCGCCAGCAATTGCATTTTTCGCATATCAATCGCGATTTTATGGCAGAAAATAGCAATTTAAATGATTTATGGGTTTTGCAACAGCAGCAGCCGGCAAAAATGCAAATATTTTTAATAAATTAATTATAATTCTTGCAGCGAGCACTGAAAATAATGCAAAACAAGTTGCAACCAAGCTTCAGAAAATCAAATAATAAATTGTTTGAAAATGCACTAAAATAGCAAAAACAATTGTTTTTATGAGCTTCAATTTGTTTTGCAAAGCTGCAGCAGATTCTTTTAATTGTTCAGATTTAAAATAAATTATAGAATTATTTGAATTAAGTCAATTTCTAGCTTTTAGCCTCGATTTACATATATTTTGATTGTGCGAAAAACTAGATGAAAACTGATTGAATTAGAAAAAAAGGGCATAAAAATGGGGATTTTACGAGCACAGCAGGATAATTTCTTAGATCAGTAGAGAATCGATAAAAAAAACCTAAAAAAATAGTTATTTTTGCCAAAAAAAAAACACATAAAAATAGTTTGTTTTGCCACAAAACAATTGTCATTAGACGGCAACATACGTAAATACATGTTAATTTGATTGCGAAGTGATTAATTTAAGCAGAAATAAAGCCTGACTTTATACTAAAGCCAACTATACACGTTTTGTGCACAGTGTAAAGCACCCCGAAGCACTCATTCAGACACACACGCACATATACGATCGAAATCAACGAAAAAGAGCAACCAAAACCCCATCGAAATCTGTTGAATACAAGTAAGAGTGCTCTAGTCGAGCTTGCTCGACCAACAGCTACCCTGTACGTGGCAATTAAGACACATGCAGACAGTAATAAACGTGCTCATGTGGAAATTAGCTTCTTAAGCAGCTGTGCGTCGCATGTGAGAGACATATTTGTTGAGCTTAGCTCTTATGTGGGGCATGTGTATAACTTTGGGTGCTGTCACCGGCTGCACTCGGGCACAACTTGGTTATACGTTTAACTAATAAGCATTTTGAAAATGGGTACAGGGTATATAACACAATTCCTGTGCGTGTGTGTAGAGCCAGCCAAGAGGAGCTAGTTATTTCGCTTTACACCAACACGCACGCTGCCCGAGTGTGATGTGTGTGCCATATGAAATGTGTAACATCGGAGAGATACAGATATACTAGAAAACATTTCGATTTTGGGCTAGTGTGATATGTGTGCGTGCCTGTGCGTGTAAGTGTGTGTGCGAGAGCTGTCTGATATGCCTATGGGTGTGCGTGTGTGTGAGTGTGTGTGTGTGTGTGTGTGTACGATTGCCATGGGGGCATTTTCAAATGGCAGGCATGAAATTGAAATGAATTTGATATCAAATAAATGTACTTACATTCAAATATGCAATTAAATGGGCACAATTATTTAAGCCGAAAATGGGCGAACACTTTAGCCGGCATCAAACACTGGAATCCGAAACGGAAATAATACAGTACATTAATTATGCACATCTAGACTCATTATGAAAGACTGGGCCCAACCTTTAACCGCGTCAAACTGATATCAGTTTACGAGTTGTCATCGTCCAGTCCAATGAAACGGCTCTCAGCACAAATCAACGAAAAACAGAACCGAATTCATCAAACCACAAACCGAACACAAGGCCCCGAAGAGACAGACGGGTGCCCAAAAAAAAAAAAAAAACAGAAGCCCTTTCGAGTGTTTCGTTTCGCTTGACTCTAATTTTTTTTTTTGTATGTTTTGTATTCTTATTTTTGTTTTGTCCCCCTCTCAATTATGTATTAATTTGATCCTAAATGCTTCAAGTTAATTAAACGCTTTAATAATAGTCCACGTGCTAATGCTGACGTAAGGGTCGACAGTCGACAACTCATAGGGGCGTGCACAATATCAACGCATCTCTCTCTCACACATACACACACACATGGACACACACACACACGGATACACTAATAAAAGTGAACATTTTGTCAGCTATTCGAAAAACGCAGCATTTCTCACGCACACGCAGGCAGCAGGCAGCTCACACACACGCACACACACGCGCACAAATGAGTTCAGCAAATTTCTTTCTATAAAGATCGCAATATATATACATATATATATACATATACACATACATATATGAAATCAAGAGAGCTTCAAATGACGTGCCCAATATCGAACATGAATAATGGACAAAATGTCGTCGCTTTACAGCAAAATTCGAAACTAACAAGGGTCGCCCTTATCCTTTCTGGTCGCACTTGAGATCCTTGACACTTGGTCGAAATTCCCTTTGGCCATACTCGTAACGCCTACACAGAATATTTGCACAGAATTTTTCAAAGAGAGCATGTGCCAAAAAAAATCACATGTTCCCAATGTACTCCCGAAACGGCTGAAGTATTTTACACTATGCTCGGCAACAGAGGAGAGCAACCGAAATTAGCAACAAATAAAAAACAACAACAACAAAAATTGGAATAAAATATGTTCGACACTCGCGGAGAGAAGCCCACGCGTCGCTTTTAAAAACAAAATGGCCGCCAGGTAATTTTGTTGACGTGGTTTTGTGCTTTTTCTTCAGGGCACAAAACCAAATTGCTTTTAATTATTTTAAACTATAATTAATAATCAGCGAATCTATGGCAAATTTTAAGTTTATTTAAATTTGATCACATATATGAAAACTGTAAGCATGAATTGCCTGAGAAACGGACAAAATGGCGTTCGTATTGCGCTAGAAAGAAATATTTAAATATATTTTAGTTAATATTTAAAAA